TTTTAATTTTTATTGGAAATTCATATTTACAGAGAAGAGTTATTTTTAACACAAATGTCTAATCCACATAAAAAAAGTGCTCAGTATCATCAGCTATTAGAGGAATGCACATCAAAGTTACTCATTTTAGCTACTAGAACTCATCTTAAAAAAATAAAGGAAAGGAAATATTTTTGGCAAGAATGTAGAGAAATAGGAACCACTGGACATTTCAATAGGAATGTGAGCAGTCCTGAGAAAGCCAGAACAGATAGGATGGAAGGCAGCAGTGAATTACTGAAAGCCATGTGGGGCTTCCTCCATTCCTATCCTATATTCCCAACATCCTCAGTGACACAAAATGGCTAGTCATTTAAAACTAAAAGATTTGAGCCATTTTCTAGTCAGTGAAATTCCCTCCATTGAAGATGGGGTTAGAATACAAGTAATGAAAACATCAGTGTTACTTATGGGGCTTTGTGAATTTAGCATGACATCCGATCAGGTTGCCTTCCAAACCACTTCTGGATGGAAATCAGCTCTGCCACCGCTTTATTCTGTGTAACAGTTATGTTCATTTAACATTCTACTTAAAGGTACTCAGCAGTGCTCAATGGCCTGGGAAAGCAATGGAAGATGGCCCACGTGCTAGGGCCCCTGCATCGATGTGGGAGGCCCAGAGCAGCTTTGGTGTCCTACTTCACTTTGCCCAGCCCAGTCATTGCAGCCACTTGGAGTGTGAACTAGCAGATCGAAAATCTCTCACTCAGTCTCTGTGTAGCTTTCAAATAAATGGAATAAATCTCAAAGATAAAATGAACACAAATCATGAAATTAAACATTATCAGTACCCCCAAAAGGTCACCTTAGTCATCCTTTTACATCAGATCCAATTATATTGTCTGATTTAGTTCTGTCCTCTTTTGAACTTTATATATTCTACACTATACTTAAAATATAAATTGTATTTAAATGCTAAAAAACAAAACACCCTTTACTGAGTCAGCTTTTATCACTGCAATAAAACACATGAAACAAGCTACTTAAGTTATTTAAGAAGTAAAGAGAGGGTTAGTTGGTGGTTAACAGTACAAATGGCATGATGCAGGCTTTAATAAAGGCCCTACAGCAAAAACAGAAAATACAGAGAGGAAAGCTAGGAAGAGGGAGTCAGCACAAACTCAGGCTTCTAAAATAACCCTCCCAGAACTAAGGCCACACTCCCCAGGAACCTAAGGACTCCCCACTAGCCCCTACCTCATAAACTTCCAGAACTTCTTGTTAGTCCCACTGTAGGGATCACACCTTTAGCAGGGGCCTTCTGGAGACATTTGGCATCCAAACTAATACCCAAACCGCAGGTACATATTCTAGAAAAGCAGAGCCCATGATTTGTTGTCCTGTTACATCTCATCCCCTGTCTTTCCAACCTTGCTCTCCATTTTTTTGTGACTCTGTAATTACAGACATTTCCCCCAAAAGCCTTATGTACTTATATCTTTGTTGTTTCTCCTTCTGACTAGAGCATACTTCTGGTAACTGCATTCTCCAACTGTGCATACTGTAATCCTACTAAATACTCAACACCAAACTGGTTTGTAACTTAAGCTAAATTTTTTTTTAAACTGACATACTTGGAGCTAAACCATATTGTTACCTGCTTTCTAACTGGGTTAGAATGTCTCTCTGAGTCTCAGAGAAATGGTATAATATACTTTTCATTTACAGGCATTTCCTCTGTTCTCTGGCAGTGCCTGCTCTTTTGCACCTCTGTGCCTTTCCATGTGCCAAACTTATCCCTAACTTCATATATCCCTGTCTTCTTACATCTGTAAAATAATCCCCAAATGTTACTATGCCATCTGCCATTCTACCAACCCAAACTGCCTCAAAGTGGGTAAGCTTCCGCAAGAGGTAGTAAATTCTGTTTGAAGCAGGTACACTTGTTAGAAATACTGACAAATAAGGACAAGGGAAAACATATACTTTCCTTGAAGTTCTGACCTGAGACTATGATTTCTATTTCTATATAAAAACCATTGGGTACTTACTGAAAAGGAAACATGGAGATCTCCAAAGCTTACTGTTGACTGAAAAAAATAAACCGTATAAACACTTACAGATCAGTATGTGTGTATACAGACAGCCCACACTGAATGCACAGCAAATTGAATGGTAACTACCAATGGGAAGAGGACTGAAAGTGCAGAAAAACTGGGGGAAACTTAAACCTTTGAGTTTTTTACAACGTTGATCTACTTTGAAATAAACACTGGAGCACAGTGCTGTGACTGTGTATCTCATGTCGCACGTGAATCCGGATGCATGTTTAGGAATCAGACCCATGACCCACACTGTCATTAACACAATGAAAAACACAGAAGCTTTAAATGTTTTGTCTTGCATACACAAACCATGGTCATACAGACTATAGTTCTGCAGGGACTAGGCAAGCCTGAAAAAAAACAGGGAAGTGGCAACTTCCTGAAAGCCTTGTTTCATGCTAGGACAGGTAGAACATGCAGAGACAATCAATGTTTCTTGGTTTTAAATTCAGGGCTATTCTTGATATATTCTGAGCAAGAGAGTTGAACAGTTTGATGATAATCACCTATTCTTTATTACCACTTACTACCATGGTCTTTCCATATCTACTAAACTTACCTAAATTCTCTTCCCTTTCATATTCCGATATTCTTGCAGTCCGACCAGGTCTTTTATAAGTTTGTGAGTTCCAATAGTGAATGCCTTTTTGACCAAAGTTAAAACCAAATGTGTGTGAACGAAGTTATCACATGAGCAGATAAAAATGCCACCTGCATGACCAATAAAAGCTTCAGAGGACAACATTTACAAATCCCAGGTTGGGGCCCGATGCGGTGGTGCAGTGGTTAAGGTCCTTGCCTTGCACGCCCTGGGATCCCATATGGGTGCCGGTTCTAATCCCGGCTGCTCCACTTCCCATCCAGCTCCCTGCTTGTGGCCTGGGAAAGCAGTGGAGGACGGCCCAAAGCTTTGGGACCCTGCACCTGTGCGGGAGTGAATCATCGGATGGAAGATCTCCCTCTCTGCCTCTCCTCTCTATATATCCGCCTTTCCAGTAAAAATAATAAAATGAATCTTTAAAAAAAATAAAAAATAAAATAAAAACAAATCCCAGGTTGAAGCCAACTTTATCACTCAGTCTTTGACAACACTGAAAAACGCAGGCAGGCCTCTGATATCAGAAGCAAGGAGCACAGTACAGGCTGGCTGTCTCCCAAAGAGAAAAAAAGTGAAACTGGGTGTTTAATATATCCAAATTTCTCCACCCCCCCCCCCAAGCTACAAGAAGAGAAAAAGCAGGAGCAGGGTTTCTTCAGCACAGAAGGAACCCTGTGCTCCTTTAAAAAGTCAAAAATAATTAACTTGCCCTTTTTACTGTGCTAACTTCTGTGAAGATGTAAAATAATGTTGGTAAAACCGCTGATGCCTGACCATTTGTCTACCTTGACTGATGACATCAAAGTGTACTCCTATAAAAAAAAAACCCATTACCTGCATTTTAGAATGTTAGAAGGAGGGCTTGACAGCAAATTTCTAGGCAAATGGAAACTCTGAGGTGAACTATGTTAGCCAATTAATTAATCTTGGAAGAATTTTCTCATACTTGGAGCGGCGATATCAACAGCAGCTAAGAACTATCAAAAACCACTTTAGCAGGACCCTAAGAAATTACTGCACAATGGGACCCCCAGGATATCGGGTGCCTGTTCCCCAATCCTGGCTACTGAGGGGGTTGGGATGCTGGAGGTGGTTTCTCCCCTTGTATTCTACCACCACCCCCCCCCCCCAAATACAGGAAGGAAAAGAAAATGTCTAAACAATGGTCTCGACCACTTTCCCCTAATCCTTGACGCTTCCCACCCTAATCATCTATGTAAATATCGACAGTGAAATTAAAAAAAAAAAAATCATTGACTTTTTATCCCATCTTCCAACTATGTTTAAGAAACTTCTGATAAACTCTAAAACATCAAAAATATTTGCAACTAGCTGAATATTTCTCCTTCCTTTTACAAATATGTACCTGTGAGAATGAATTTCCTTCATATTTCTACCAAAACATGAAAATGCAAAAGCTAGTATGAGAAACCAGATGTTTTCAATTAAGCCAAGCTTTGCTAAAATATGGCAATGCCACTCTTCTCACAAAGTTTTCTTAAATAATTATTGTCATCAGAAGTATTAACATAATTGTTATATTTTCTAACATGGTAAACACAAGATCTTTGGCCTCCTCAATAATTTCTAGTACTTCACAGAATTCGCAACACCAAAAGCAAAGCTGGGCCCAGCACCATGGATCAATTAGTTAATCCTCCCCTTGCAAACACAGGGTTTCAATTTGGACACTGGTTAGTATCCTGGCTGCTCCACTCCCTACCCAGCTCCCTGCTTGTGGCCTAGGAAGGCAGCCATGGCTGGCTAAATTCCTTGGGCCCTGCACCCACATGGGAGATCTGGAGAAGGCTCCTGGTTTTGGATTGGCTCAATTCCAGTCAGTGCAACCATTTAGGCAGTGAACACACTGATGGAAAACCTTTGTCTCCCCTTCTCTCTGTAAATCTGCCTTTCCAATGAAAATAATTGTAAAACAAACAAACAACAACAACAAAAAGCACCTAATGTGAACTATGTCTGACCCATCACTGCTGCCTCCCAGGATGTGCACTAACAGGAAGCTGGATGGAAGCAGAGCAGCCCGAACTCAAATTCTCCTACGTGGGATACAGGTGTTCCAAGCAGAGATTTAAGCTGTTACGCCAAGCCCCAGAAATATATTTTTAAAACTTTTATATTACTCATTTTCTAATACATCTATACAAAGCAACCAGAGTCTCACCTAAATTATCATAATCACATTATTTTAAAAGTACTTGTTTTATGAATTTGAGTTTTTTCCTTAACAGCATTTGAATGCAATAAAGACTTTAATAAAACTACTTTCTAAAATCAGACAGGAAAAACCATTTTTGATGATGCAAACCTTTCAAAACACTTTATTAAAATATTTCTCACAAACTAGGGATAAACTTATTAACACCAAAAGGAAAAAATCCTTAATTTACAACACAAGTAAAAAGCACCAAATAGAATTTGGCACCATCATTCTGATGAGCTCAAGTTCCCAGTTTCCAGTTCTTTTAAACCACACTCCTGTAGCACTACTCAAAGCTTTTAGAAGGAATACCAAATCCAGTCACTCCTGAAATGATTCATAAGAAGCAGACACAATTCCTTTCATTCCTCCCTGGTCCACACAGAGGAGTAATCATCAAACAGAAATCTTGCTTTGCAAAGAAGAGATTCTAAAATTAAATACATACTACTATCTTTTTTGGAAACAAAAGTATTAATACTAAAACAGAGCAGAACACGAACATTACTAACTGAAGAAAACAATCATACTATTTACTTCAGGTAGGTCCAAATGTCCAATATTTTAAAGACTTTTTTTTATATATGTAACATACCGCCTAGTTTTCTTTTATGAGAGAAATGTGCGCACTGTACCCTTGATTATACCCCGGCAAATAGGGCATTTCCTTAAAGAAGGGGCACATTCCTGGCATACTACCAGATGACCACAAGGAATGAATACAATAGAAACTTCTTTGTCCATACACACTTTACAAGTCCGTTCTTCTTGCAACCTCCTCAACTGTTCTTCCAGTGACAGACCTAACAATAAAAAGAATTTCAGTAAAATTAAATTTCTACTTTACCTCCCAGTAATTAAATATCTCATGCTGGTGTCAGTATTAAATTTATTTTACCTGAAACATCTTCTGTTGGAACATACTTCATGTTCTTTTCCACTGAGTAAAGAAAACATAAATTACCACTCTACCAAAATACAAAACTGCTTTTCTTACTACCAATTTCCCCCCCCCCCCCCCCAGCTACCTACTGAATAGTGTTGATTCTGCCTGTAAATGATCAGAAACTTTCAAATTCAGACATATTATCTGGGCACTAAAAGACTTCAATTCTTTGGAACAAGTGAAATACACAGATTACAGCTTGCTAACTATAATCTGTCTCTTTTCAAAAAGAGACATGAACATAAACCTAAGGATTTCTAAAATAATCTTTCCCATAAACTCACCAAATAAGTTTTCATATAACGTAGAATCAGTTTCTTTTAGACAGTTTTTGAAGATGTTGGCTGCTGCATTTCCTTTAACTAAAACAGTATCAATCAGCTCTCTTGCTTGTAAAGGTATCTGTGTTTTTTGTTTAATAATATCATGTTCCTGTTTGTTAATTACACCAGCCTTTAAAAGATGATTCAGGATAGGAAGTACACACGTCAACTGCTGAAATAGAGCCATTCTATTCTTCCGAATTAATGACAAGTCATCTTCATATAGAAATAGGAAAAGAAAAAGGAAAAACAATCTATTAGATTTAAACTTCTAACTATGCTGTACAATCACTAACAACCAATCTACAAATTATTTAATCATTAAATAAACAGAGCTTGAAAAGGAATAAAATGCTTGCACTTTATTACCTGTCATTTGGAAAATTTACAGATTTAGGTAAGACACAAAAGGGTATGCATTGAGTGCATATAATTTTTAGAAGTCTGTACATTCATAGATTCTAGAACTCTTATTTCTTCTGGAAAGAGGAAGCACAGAGTTTGAGGACAGTAAAAGTTCCCTACTTCATTCCATCCATCATGGAATTAATGACTTCATTTCCTGGCTGCTGTATTTCCAGCTCACCTCCCGGCTACTGGTCTGGGAAAAGCAGTAGACTATGACCCAAGTGTTTGCACCCTTACTGTCCAGGAAGGAGACCTGAAAGAAGCTCCTGGCTTCAGACTGGCTGAGTCCAGGCCACTCCAACCATCTGGGAAGTGAGCCAGCAGATGGAGGAGCACTATCTCGTCCTGTCTCTGTAACTCTTTCAAATAAGTCCTTAAGAAAAGGTTCATTTTGAAATACAGCTCTTCTCAGTTAAACCAGTTAAATAAGTACTACTGTGTCTCATTTTGAAAAAGACACAGAAATTAGTAGTCTATTTAAGTTAATAAAGCACATTGCTAAAGGCAGCCTCCTCTGACAAAATTCTGTTCAGCACAGCATAGTTAAGGCAGCGTTGGGGTGCTGCAGAGCTTGAAGTCAGTCCAGATCTAGATTCTTAGGCTGGCCTAGCCATCTACTAGTCAAGTGTTCTAAGCTTCCTCCATACACTCATCTATATATAACATCAATAATAACAGTGCCTTCTTCAAAATGCTGTGATGATTAAATAACACATATAAAGTGTTTAGCGTAACTAGTGGACAGAATATCCTTCTCTCTGCCACTCTGCCTTATTTCTCTATTGGAAAGGCAGAGTGACAGAGAGAAGGATCTTCTAGTTGAGTCATTGCACTGGCTTCAAGCTTGCTCTTTCTCATAAGTTACTTCTTTTGGTGTCCCAGTCATTGTCAAATATAATTGCTTGTTTTCGGACTTCTAAAAAAAGGTTTTTGAATGTACATCTTTATAAGGTTCAAGTTTAATAAGAAATTGTACAAAGCCCCTTCCTTCCCCTTTTGCACTTTTGTGAAAGTGAGCACTCTGTTCATTTTAGCAATGTTATTCCTAGGATAACAACTTATTCTTTTACCTTATTAACTTGCCTCCCTGTGAGTTATTAAATCATTCACTTCTAAAGATCCCCACATCATTCCCGATCCTACTAGCTCAAGAGTAATCTCCTGGCTTTGCTTCATTTTGAGACTGTTCTTTGACTTTTACATTTAAGGACAAAGCCACAAGACTAAGGTGGTAAGGTTTATTTCCCTGGGTTCATATAAGTACTTAAGTTTCATTACTACTTAATGATCTTTAAATCTTTCCCTGTTCCTTTAGTCCTTTCTTCATCAAGTTCCTACTTCCCAAATCAATTTGTTTAATAGAAAAAAAAAGTTTGTATTTGATGTGCTACATCTATGTTGAAGTGTTTTCTTTTCAATACTCATTTAATTCATACAGTAATCCTGTAACATAATATTTTAATCTCTATTTTATTGATGAAAAAGCTAAAGTGTTACTGAAGCTGTCACCTCAAGGACTCACAGATCCAGAATTTATATGTAAATCCTTCTCAACCTGTCAGACTTTTAAACATTCTGCTGTACGGACATACCATAAAGTTCTCTTATATTCTTATCCCGATTTTCAAGATTAAAAAAAATATCTTCAACCAACTTCCCAATTTACAGCCCATGTATAAGCTCACCTACCAGCTGCCTCTTCCCTTTCTGATGACTCTTTTGCACAGCAGTTTCCTCAGCTAGTCTGTCGGCTCTGCAAGAGCACTCACCAGGATTAGCACTGGGGCCCGTGCTCTGTAAATACTTGTGGGAGTAAATATTCAAGCGTTGTGTTTGAGAGGCTGAGACTCTGCATAATGTGTATCTGTGTAAATACCAAAATCCATTTTCTACTATCCCCTAAGTTGCACAAGCGATTTTCAAAGCCGAGGATTTCTTCCGATATTTTATTTTTTCTAAAAGGATCATCTAGCAAAGATGAATGACTCCAGGATCATATTAAGAATATGATTGTGGGGTGAGCATTTGGTATGGCAGTAATGCACTTCCTGGAAACACTCACAACCCATCAGAGTGCTGGTTTCAAAGTCCTCTACTGCAGATTTCAGCTTCCCAGAGAGGTGAACCTCTGCAGGCAATGCGCAACGGTTCAAACACTTGGGTCCCTGTCTTCTTTAGGTGAGGCCCAGACTGAATTACAGGTTCTGGCTTTGGCCTGACCTAGCACCAGCTACTGCGGGCACTTGGGGAGTGAACAACCAGCTAGAAGAAAAATTTTCTGCCTGTTAAAAATTAATTTATGTCTGAAATTTCAAACTAAAAGGATTTTAAATTTAAAAAGTAGAAATAAAACCTGCATCCAACTTAGAAAATCCTGCTTTTACAAACAATTTAAAATTGTTTTGTAAGGGAAAAAGTAATTTATCTCAAGAAAAGAGATTTTTTTTCCAAAAGTTTGCTGACCAGCATCAATCAGAGAATATTAAAAATAAAAACAAAAACAAACCTACAACAAAAGCTTCGGTCAGTGTTTTTAAGAGCAATTCAGGCAGCGGAGAAAGGTGCAATTTGGGAATGACAGGGAGGCTGCTAGCAGCAGACAGTGGGTGAAAGACAAGGATGCTGACCCACCACGAGTGAGACAATTCTGTGAGCCCCACTGAGAAACAATCAGGTAACTAATATTCCCAAATACCTGATGCCATTTCTTCAGCTTGTCTTTCCTTCTCCTCTTCTCTTTTTTCATCTTCAGCATCAAGAAGTGCTGATACAATATCATTAACTGTTTTGTAGTTCTCTCCAGTTGTTAGAATTTTACTCTGGACTGTCTGTTTCACAAGGCTTCTACTAAAGCCCATTTCTAAGGCAGCTTTAACCACAGGTGTATTCATCATGACCGTATCTTCTGAAGAACTTTCTCCAGGTCCAAAATGAACAACTATTTGAAAAGACACATACTGATATTAAGCTCCACAAATACGAAACTAAAGAGAAAAACAGAGTGTGGCATAAGATGCACTCAGTCATCCTGGTCAAACAGGTGAGCGTATGCCTCAACAACTATAACTTCAATGAAAACAGGCTGTCCTTAATAAAGACCGAATGAGGCTATACTACTTAGACAAGCACTTCCCAAGATATACCTTAGACCTACTTATTGACAAACTCTTTAGGGATAATGCTTAGAATCTATATCTTACCAAAGTTCCCCAGAAATGATTTTGTTAGATAATTTTTGAAAAGCAATAACACGTAGAAATTTAAAAGTGAGAAATTAAATTCTCCAGCCAGGAAGGTGAGTGAAGAAAAATAGCACTGGATTTCAAGTTTTCAAGCATGGAGAGGGCTAGATTGGGTGGAAAGGTACGGCAAGGAAAATAAAAATGAGAAGTACAAAAAAAAAGTAGACAATTTCACTCATAGTGTTCCTAAATATGCAATGAAAACTGTAGTTACGCATGATTTTAGATACAGATACACACTCTCCAAATTAAAAAGGTTGCTGAAGAATCTAGAAGGCTGCAGGGCATTTTTGACAGACTGCTCAGAGTCAAAGGTGGCCCACATGGCACTCCTAGGAAAGCTGTAGTAGATGTAACACTTCAAGACACTTTACTGCCATCTGCTGGAAAGTTATGATAAATAAAAAGCAACAAATGTGCTGTGTGCTGCTGCTGAAACATTACGTGGATCTCCTGCCTGAGGAGACAACCCACAAATTTAAATGATATGAAGCAATCAGCTGTGTGGATATAAGCGACATCTTCCGAAGATGAACAGAAACCATGGAAAACCTTCACATGTTCAGAGAAGAGAAGGAAGGTGGTAGAAGATGAAGAGGGGAGGACAGGGTCCAGATGGAAAGCTTTACCAGGTGTTCATATTTTATTCTAAGTTTTCTAGAAGAGTCTAGAAGGGTTTTAAGCAAAGGTATGGTAAAATGTGGTTTGTGCTTTCAAAGGATGACTCTAGCAGTTATGTGGAGATGGGACTTTAATCAGGGGGACCTGCTACCTACAACAGAAGATGGAATTTGGATAGGGTGATAGTGGTGATGTTGAGTAATAGGGAGAAGGATGTGTTAGAAGACAGAAATAAAATAACTGTTAATAAAGAGAAACAAATAAAGGAGAAAATTTTGGTCACATTCACTCAGATTTCCATCATAACCAAGGACAGAGTTGAACAGATCGCTGGACATTCCAGCCTGGGTCACAAGAAATAAAGAAAAATTTACATTAAGTTTGAATTGAAGTTTAAAAATGGAGTAATGATTTTAAAGAAAAAGAAACAAGAGCTGGTAGCATCTGAAAAACTAAACAAGGGAGTCCTAACAGGGACAAACTGTTTAGCTGCACTTGCAATTTCATATTATATATTTTCTATGACAGTTTTGAAGACTCCCTCTATGCAAAAATCTATAAATTTCTGGCAGCAAAATGATCTCTTAATTCCATTTTCCAGACTTTGTGAAGTACCCTCAAATGTACAGTGAAAATACTAATGTAGAGATGCAGCTAAGACTAACTTCTACTCAAAAAATTGTATTATTAACTGTTCACTTGACTGAAATTATTAAATTATTCATTAATTACCTTATTAATAAGCAATTACTTCATTATTTATTAAATCATGTGAACTGAGCCTTCTCTGAATCATGCCAGCTCACAGCAACCTTATTATTTATTATTTGCAACTCTTATTAACACTGTTTTGACCTTTCTGTTGTTGTGCTTATTTTGTAGTTTTTTTTCCGTTACAGTGTTAGAAATTAAAGAACAAAGACTAGTCAACTTCCCAGAATCCTCTAAGATGTCATTAATCTTAGTATTCACCCAATACTTAATAGCTGACTTTCCCATATTTTTAATTATAGCTTCAGAAATTTTTTTTTTTAATATTTTCATTCCTAACATTGTTACAAATATTCCCAATGTATACTTGTAGTATTTGCTACTTACTTGGTGGGTCAGTACTGTTTTCTCCAGGAGGGTCTGAAGTTGACAGTAGCTATGAAACAAGTTCCAGGTAAAGTCAGAAATGTCAATCTTCAAAGAGGACACTGTTTACCCTAAATAAATGAGCATGCTCAAAAACTGGGTTATTAATATACTTCACTTAACTTTGTTTGACCCTATCATACAGGTTTCCTTAAACTTTACCTAATTCCAAATTAGAATTCATTTGAAGCATGTAGGAAAATGTATCAGTAGTTTCCTATTCCATTTGAACTGAGTTATCGTCAAGAGGTCTCAATTGCCTGTAAGTCATTTTCTGGGAAAGATCAGTTTCTCTTCCTATCCTATCATAAATTTGTACAGTGGTGTGATGAATACTTTTTAAAAAAAAAAATGTTTTGAAAGCCCAAATACACTGATTACAAAAGTAACAATTAAATAGGCCAGTGTTGTGATACAGCAGGTTGAGGCTCCACCTGCAACGCTGCATCTGATATGGTCACAGCTGGAGTCCTGTCTGCTTCACTTCCGATCCAGCGCCTTACTAACCTGCCTGGAAATGCAGCAGCACATGGCCTAAATTCTTGTTCCCTGCACACCCACCAAGGGATCCCTGGCTCTGACTGCACCTTGTCCTGACCTCAACTATGGTGCCATTTGAGGAGTGAACCATCAGAATACTGATCTCTTTGTCTCCTTGTCTCTGAGAGTCTTTCAAATAAATCAGTATTAAAAGAGATGACATTGATCAGGACACAAAAAATGAAACTAGTAAGAAAGCAGACATAGTCATTATTTTTAACATTTCTGAAATTGTTATATAACATAACTCAGTAGTTAATTTTTTAAAATGTATTTACCTGTTCAAGGAGATGAGGAAATCTAGCTTGAATCTCATCAACAAACTCCTGCCCTTTCATGCGTATCAAGAACTCACACCTAAAACGTAAGATAAAAAAAAAAAAAAGTTTAAACTTTTGTCCATATCTGAAAGGGAGAATAGTAGAAAAAGAAAAGAAAACAAAACATAACACTAGATGGAGTCCCCATCATAAAAGTATGCAACAGGCTGAAGCCAGAAGCTCTCACGAGGGTGGTAAGAGCCCAGCTACTTGCTTCATTGCCACTGCCTCCCAAGTATGCAGGAGCAGGAAGCTGGTTAGCAGGAGTCAGAGCTGACCACTAAGCCAACACCTGTCCTGATGAAATCTTTTTAAAGATTTATTTATTTAATAGACAGATTGACAAGACCGAGAGAGAGAGATCTTTCATCCATTGGTTTACTCCTCAAATGGCCACAACGGTCAAAGCTGAGCTGAGCTGAAGCCAGGAGTCAGGAATGTCTCATTTGTTCTTCCCACATGGGTGCTGGGGTCTGAGGACCGGAGCCAGCTTCCTCTGTTTTCCCAGACTATAACCTTGGAGTTGGTTGGGAAGTGGAACAGCCAGAACACAAACTGGCACCCATATGGAATGTTGGCACTTGCAAGATGAGGATTTAACCAATTAGCCATCATGCCTGGCCCTATTTCTCTCTTTTAAAATGGATTTCTAGTCACAGACTGTCCATGCTAATATTGGTCAGCACATTACCATACATTCCTCCCACCTTTATCAGCCATTCCTGGTCTTCTCAGGGGCCAGGCCTAGTATCTGTCCTTTGGAACTATGACTATTCCTGTCAGAAGTACAGCTGGGTCATGCACCAATGCCTGTATGGAATGTCGGTGCTTGAGGAGGAGGATTAGCCTGATACGCCACAGTACTAGCCCCCCAAATTTTTTTCAGCAACACCAAAAAATACAATCTCATTACTTTAGAAAGTGCCTTCCAAACATCTGATTGCACTCCACAGTTGAAACATTTACATCGTAACCACAGCACATATACCTACACACATACATTGTATAACCACTGTACATAAAATCATAAAATATACTTTTTTAATGTTGATAGCATTTATTTTCTATTTTATTGCATTAACACAACAACAAAGAAAAGAGGATTTAGACCTCAAAAAGGAAACAAACTGCTATCTGAAAATGCTACTAGAGATGATTTCCTTTTGGGGCTTACTATAATCTGAAATTGTAATAGTATTCCTAAAATGTGAATTTGCACATTATAATTACTGTTAATATGTCTGCAAGCTTTTCCATTCTGTTTGAAGTATAATCCACCATCCTTTCTCCAAACAAATATGGACTCAGGTATTTCCATAAACTTGTACTTTGATCCTTTTATTCAAGTATTTGTTTCTAAACCACTAGGGTGTCCAGGAAGTTCACATAACATCTATTTCCATTCTGTTCCTTTTTTTAAAATAAATGGTGATAGACAATTGGATATTATACACAAAGGAACCTGGACTCAACACCCATACTAAATAAACCAGAAATGGATCACAAACTTAAATATAAAATCTAAACCAATAAGGGGCCAACATGGTGGCCTAGCAGCTAAGGTCCTCGTCTTGAACGTGCTGGGATCCCATATGGACACTGGTTCTAATCCCAGCAGCCCCGCTTTCCATCCAGCTCCCTGCTTGTGTCCTGGGAAAAAAGTTGAGGACGGCCCAAAGCCTTGGGACCCTGCACCCTCATGGGAGACCTGGAACAGGCTCCTGGTTCCTGGCTTCAGGTCGGCATAGCACTAACATTGTGGTCACTTGGAGAGGGAATCATCAGATGCAAGATTTTCCTGTCTCTCATCCTCTTTGTATATCTGAATTTGCAATAAAAATAGATAAATCTTTAAAAAAAAATCTAAACCAATAAAACTTCTGGAACAAAGCAGAAGAAAAAGATTTTTATCCTAAGGTTAAATATTATTTAGGTAACAGTCCAAAATTATAACCCATAATTAATATGCTGACATCAAAATCAATATCTGCTCTTGAAACACATTGAAGAAACAAAAGGCCACCACCTGAAAAGGGCTAGAAGATGTCCGGTGACAGCTAGAGGGACAGAGATTCTTAAGTGACAGACCTCAGTGGACTTGCTCTGGGGAATCCCAGAAGAATCCGCCACCGAGGATCTGTAAAGTCCAACACAGCCACACTTTCCTGCAGGTTAACAGTGGCAGACCCAACACCATCCATTAGCACTGACTGTGGTCTCTGCAGAAAACACTGTCCGTTGCTTTCAGTGTGACAGTCAATATCCATTACTGCTATGGACGCCCGGAGAGGGGGAATCTGCTCATGCCCCTAAAAGAGCAACTCTTGTATCACTCTGACAACATACACCTTCTCCAAACCACTGTCCCTACACACACACACACAAACTGCACTCCACACACAGCTGTTCCATGTGGAGCTGTTGGGTCAAACCCCTGGCTCTGTGGCTGCTCTGCTTGCACATTTTCAGAAGTCAGTTCTGTGGCTGCTCTGGCCAGATCTTAATGGAGATTTATATCCCAAACCCAGTTCCAGGGCTGCCCCATGGGGGGGGGGGCCATGTTTCAGGCAACAGAACCATAGCTGTAGGTTCACCAGCATCATGGGCCCACTCCACAAACCCCAGTGCTGTGGCTGCTTTACAGGCATCAAGCACTAATGGCACCAACACTACCGTAACAGTCACCAGAAACCATAACCAGTGCCCAAAGGGATCGCTTTGGCCATGACATTTCTCATGACAGAAGAGGATTGGAAGGTTGCTGGCAGCCACTGCCACCACAGATCCAATCAATCTCTACTACAGACACCTGTAGCCTTGGAGGTTGAGGAATCCTATAATCGTCACTGATAATGATCTCAGCTAACACAGTCCACTAGAGACGGGGTCTGCTGGAAGAGCTAGAAGCCTCACCTCCGGACCAGTCAGTACCCTCATAATTATCCACAAGGAAGGGTCTTTCCTGATGAAAATCAGTCAGTACAAGAATGGAGAGTTACCCATTGCTAAACATTTTAAACAACTGTTTTAAGGAAGCTCACTGAATTGCAACAGAACACAGATGATTCAGTAAAATCAAGAAAACATAGACAAAATGGAAAGTTCAACAGAGAAAGAAGAACCATGAAAAACAAGGGCTGTGACACAGCAAGCTAAGCCACCACTTGTGAAGCTGGCATTCCTATAATGAGTGCCTGTTGTGCTGTCGAATTCTGCTAATACACTAGGCAAGGCAGGTGATGGTCCAACTACTGAGCCCTGGCCACTCATGTGGGAAGATGGAACTCCTGGTTCCTGACTTCATCTTAGCCCAGTGGTGGTTGCTGGGACTATTAAGGGAATGAACTAACAGATGGAAGATCTGTTTCTCCCTCTCTATCACTGCCTTTCATAGAAATAAGCAAATCTTTAAAGGAAAAGAGGAGCCAAACAAATTCTATAGCCAAACAACACAATAAATGCAATGTATAAAACTGAATCAAGAAGAAATCTGTGAAATACAGGGAAGGCCAACTGAAAATCAGAGAAAAAAATTGGCAAAGTAAGCCTATGGGAAATAGTATCAAGCAAAATAATATCTGTATGGATTTGGATTTGCTGTCAGGTCCTTTCTATGTAGCCCGTATCTCACAGAAAGCTTACTAGGGAGAATTTTATTCTCTCACCATGCTTTTTTATCTCTTCACCCAGCCAGTTACCAACCTAAGCAGTAGCCAGGACTGGTATCATCTCTCCAAACTCTGGCTCAAAACACCTTTGCTAAGACTCTTGCTAGTAAGGCTCACGGTTGAAATCAGGCTTTGTCAATTCAAAGTCAGAACAACTATTTTTTTTTTTTAAGGGGCAGAGTGATGAAATATGTAACCAGGCAGAGGCCTAGTTCTAGCACACTGCTGGTAACAGAAAATAATGACTCCTTGCACACCGTTTTGACAAATATATCCAAAGGCATGGACGGCTGAGTGGCAGAGGGTAATAAATGCTAACCCGTCCTCACCTTTCTCCTCTCCCTGTTGGCCTCAGTGCATGCCTGGACGCCACAGGCTGGCTAGAAGAGTCCTGAGAGACATCTCAAACTCAGGAGAGATAAGAACAGAAGGACACTTCTGTATTTAGCCTCTTGTTTCGGTACTCCTTGCACCTGCTATTCTGAAAAATGTCTGTCCTACGCAAAGGTACACTTGACCAAGAAGAGGCCCAGTTCTAGCACACTACTGGTAAAGGGAACTGACCAGATACACCCCCTTGGGGTATCACTTTGGACATCTGGATTCCTTTGACCGCTAGAGCTACAAGAAAAATGCCTAATTTATTTTTCCTGCACTACTGCATGACCTACTTACAAGCTGGGGGAGAGTTAGCCTAAATGGGCTTCCTTTTGTCTAATATGACAAATGATTGGATTTACTCAGCTGCTATGGCAGCTCTACCTCTATGAGACCACAGGACAGCTGTTCTGTAATCCACCCTGGCCCTTCCCTGTTGTCTTGACTGTACCCTTGCAGGCTTTGTCAGAAATAGCCAGCAGGAGATAGTTCATTTTGTGTCTCTCCCTCTTAGTTAATGTCCAGAATAAAAAGTGAATGCTGCTGGCTACTACAAATTTCCCCACCCCAGCTGGAGAGAGGCTGACTCCATTCATTCTTCCTAACCTGGAAGACATTTATCCCCCTTCTGTGAAGTTAATGCTACGTTTTTCTCTTTGGCTCTTGACTATAGGAATATATGATTCTTTCTCTCTTTGTTTCATGATATATCTCACAGTTACAAATGACAGATTCATGTGCTGAACCAAGGTATTGTAATAGACTTCAGTAATGAGAGCTTTCTTGTGTCTTGGAAAGCTTTCTGCATTTTTCTGCCATTGTTACTGAGTTTTGAGAGAAGTTAAAGATTCATCTGCCTATATCTAATAATTACCTTAACTCTGATCAGATCTGACCTATAGTATTTGGTAAAATGATTACTTAATGTGTTTTATTTTGACCAAATGATTTGGACCTGATAATTCTTCAATGTTCTAAGCCAAGTTTCCTA